GAGGCCAGGGTATATCTTTCCCGTTTTCTGCAGCTGACGAACGGGTTCAAGCTGAACGGTGTCCCCGATGATGCAATCCGCCTTCACCTTTTCCCCCATTCTCTGGAGGGGAATGCTAAGAGGTGGTTGGAGACCCAGCCCCCATTGTCCATCACCTCTTGGGACGATCTGGCTGACAAATTCGTGCACAGGTACTATCCGGCATCGAAGACTACAGAGATCCAGCGGGAGATCACTCACTTCCGCCAAGAGCCAGATGAGTCTCTTCGTGATGTTTGGGAGTGGTACATGGGATATTTCTGGCAGTGTCCCCATTATGGCTTCAGTGATGCGTTCACAGTGGGGAACTTCTACAGCGCTCTCTCTCCGGACAGCCAGAGGGTGATTGAGTCTTTATGCCCAGGAGGGGATATTCTTACTAAGACTCCACCCGAGCTGAACCAGATGATCAATACCTTGGTTGCCAGAGATCATTCCTGGGGGCAGAGCAGCAGAGGCAGACATTCCCGGGACCGTGGTGTGCACGCCATGGAGACCAGATCCGGACTCGAGCAGCAGGTAGCTGAGTTAGTGCAGACATTGAAGCAGCCCAGCAGTCTTATTCCGGGCAGAGGTTTGGCTACACCTCTAGTAGCTCAATGTCAGTGGTGTGAGAGCTCAAATCACCTAGTGGAGGACTGCCAGGCTATGCGGGAGTCCTCTACACCCCAGGAGCAGTTGGCCTTTATCGCCAATGCGCGGCGCCTCGATCCATACAGTAACACATACAATGAGGGATGGCGCCAGCATTCCAACTTCGCTTGGAGTAGTAACACCAATAAACCACCTGGTTTTCCAGCACCAGCTAGGGGTATTCAGTAGAGGCAGCCTTTCCAGGCTCGACAGGGGCCAGCCCCACAGCAGCAGCCCTACCAGCCCAGGCAGGGGCAACCATTCCAGCAGCCCCAGCGTCAGTATGCCGAGCCAGCAGCAGCTCCGGCTCCAGATAATCAGATGACGAAGCTGGAAAATATTCTAGCTTCATTCATGACTAGCACTCAGGCAACTGTCACGAGGTTGGACCAGAGCATAGCCTCACTGGAGGCAGGTCAGAGGAACCAAGGTGCCATTTTGCAAGATTTGCAGAACCAGATGGGTGACATGGCTCGCCAAATTAATACCCGAGCCCCGGGAACTCTCCCTACCACTAATATCCCCAAACCACGGGAGCCGCACCAGCAGCTGGATGCCATTTTTACCAGGAGCGGTAAGACCATATCTGCTGATCCTGACCCGGCCAGACAGGAGGAACCACTACCTGCTTCAGCACTTCCAGCCGACGATGCAGAAGTGTGGGTGGAGAAGGAAGCCCCTGCTCCCAAGCCACAACCAGTGGTTAAGGAGCATGTACCCCAGCTTCCCCTTCCCCACTCGCCTACACAAAGACAAGTTAGAGACTGAGTTTGCCAATTTTATGGTAATGTTGAATCAGCTCTATATCAGCATACCGTTCGTGGAGGCATTGTCAAAGATGCCCAAGTACGCGAAGTACATGAAAGATCTCCTCACCAACAAGAAGAAACTTGGGGATCTCTCGACAGTGTTGTTGAGCGAGGAGTGTTCTGCCATCCTGCAGAACAAGCTGCCCGAAAAGCGCAAGGATCCAGGGAGTTTTACTATCCCTCTTACTATTGGCAGCATGCATGTAGGCAAGTCCTTGGCGGACCTAGGCGCTAGCATAAATGTCATGCCATATAAGTTGTATAAAAAGCTAGACCTAGGTGAACTTAGCCCTACTAGGATGAGCATTCAGCTAGCTGATCGTTCCATTGTGCATCCTAGGGGGATCATAGAGGATCTGCTTGTTAATGTAGGTGCATTCACATATCCTGTTAATTTTGTTATTCTTGATATACATGAGGATGTGGATGTGCCTTTGATTTTGGGGAGACCATTTCTTGCCACCGCCAAGGCACTTATTGATGTGCATGATGGTGAACTGATCCTGCGTGCTGGGAATGAACAGGCTACTTTTTCTGTGACTGAATTCGATCACTGTGCTATGATTGCTGTCACACCTGTGCATGCCATTTCTGATCAGGTACACGATCCTGTCATGTATCCTTCTGCACATCTCATTTTGCAGGACCCTCCTATCATTCCTTCGCCGCCACTCCATCCAGTCTCGCCTCCGAACAATAAGTTCAAGGAGGAGTGGCGGCCGAAGAAGCAGGTTTCTAAGCCTGCACGGAAGAAGGGTGGAGACCACTACGAGCTGGTTCCACCCCCTACACCACGACCACCTTGGCTATCCGAGTACTCACTCGCCTGCATCTTGTCGGATGGCCAGGTCGAGCTGACCAATGCTGGTGGCTGCACCCGTCGGGTACATGGCCAAAACCTGAAGCTGTACCTCAAGGGCGACGTGGATCCGCTCTTCGAGGCACCAAATCCTGCACCTCCCTGAGTATCCACCATGGGCATCCAGCTAAAAGACGGTAAAGAAGCGCTTGTGGGGAGGCAACCCCACCACGGTTTGCATTTCTACCCTTTGTTTTTATCTATTTATGTCAATTTTTGTCGGTTTTTTAGTCTTTGAGTCTGTCTGGAAAGTTTTTTGTGCCTCGGGCGGTTCTTTTTAATGTGTGATTGGGTAAATTTTAGAGTCGGGGCACGAATGAGTCTTGGTGGTTTGAAATTGGAATTTTGAAAAAGGCAGTTTGGGCTCGGCACTAAAAGCACGGGCGCCAGGGGACGAAAACACGGCCGTGTTTTGCCCTTGCCCGCCCGTGTTTTGGAATTCGGCCTGCACTGCTCGCGGCAGTAAAAACACGGGCGTGGAACCGGCCGAACACGACCGTGTTCCAGCCCGCCCGTGTTTTGCTTCCCCCCCCCTATAAAAGTCGATTTTCAGCCCCAAAACCCACCAGATTCATTTTTTTCAAAAATCCACCCACCGGCGATGGTGGTGATGCCTTCTAGAGCTGGTTCTGTGCTTTATTTGTGTTCCAGACTGAGACTCCATGTTTTGTTGTTTCGTTTTGTTTTGATTCTTTTTATTTTGGATTGTAGACCTGGACCTCCGGTTCTTTCACCCAGTGTGTGTCTTTTGTTGTCTCTAGCTCTGTGCCTCGTTCTCTGGACTGGTCTGCCTTCCAGTCCCCGTTCTTGTTCTCCTTTCACGGTAACATCGTTCCCCTTCCCTCTGCTCCATTGAGGACATTGTCGCATTTAAGTGTGGGGGGGTTCTTTGTATGAATTGGAACGTATATATGTGTGCTTGGAGCCTAGTCCACTGTCCAAATCTCGAGATTTGAGGGCTCCAAGCACTATCGTTTGCCTGATGTTTGATCGTATTGGCATTGTGGATGTGATTAGTGAATTGAATGGCTTTTGACTTGATGCATGAAAACTTGAGTGTGACTAAGATAGCTTATTATGATGACTGAGATGAGCAGTAGAATTGTGTAGGAGTTTAGTTTTTCAACTGTTTGCTTACCAAATGTGACTTGGTTTGATCACTTGCTTTTGACAGTCATTTATGCATATAGTTCAGGGAATCAGAACGAGAGATAGAGCATATAGGTAGCCATGTGAGACTTGAGCCTGCTCGTTTCTTTCTTGTGCGATAGTTTCTTCTTCCATGATGTGCAGCATTCACGTTGTCATTAGCTAAGATGATGGAAGCATATGATTAACCCACGACCAAATTGATTGTCCTGGTGTGTCATACCCCCTAGTCAGCCCTTTGAGCCGTGTGTTTTCCTTTCTTTCGGTCTTCAATGAAAAGTCCCCCTTTTGCATCTTTTAGAAGGTTCCACAGAGTGATTTTTACATGTTTTCTACTATTTCCGCTAAACGTAATGTGAGGGTTGGAGGTAGTGCTTAAAAGTTGGGCAGGTGTTTGAAAATGTGCAGAGGTGGTGGTTCTCTTAAGAAATGAAAAATAATGAAAGAAAAACAAAGAAAAAAATGAAAGCAAAAGAGTGCCACCACCAAAAATCTTAATAATGCCCATTTAGTAGTGTTTCTTAGCAGTCTGGCTTAGAAATACTAGCATTTATGTGACCTCCTTCGCTCTTGTGCTCTGAAGAATTTGAGTAATGCAGAATAGCAGAAAGAAAGTTATTGGTTTGATTGACTGCGAGTTTGTTGGGTTTGGATATGTAGAACCTTGTGCTGTATGAATACTTCCACCACCTAAAAGGCCTTTTCCCCATGTCCGAGACCCTAGCCAGTCATCTGAACCTGTGTCTAAGACCTCCGGATTAGTTAGTGGTGACACCCCATATGTGAACTCTAGCACTTAGAGGCTGCATTCATGATGAAGAGATGTTAGGGATTGAGAGATTAAGCATGCGCATTTTTCGCATCAAATTGTCCTGACCCCACTGGTCGAGAGTGAGCGATTCATTTTCTCATATTCTCTATACTCTTTATCTCGGTGAGGACCTAGATTACTCGGTCTTAATTCTGATATCTTGAGTTTTGTGCATGAAGTGACTGTTTTGAATAAGTGGTTGAGTCAAGTCTATGTTGGTTGGTGAACAGAAGGGAACTCTTCCTTTGCTCGACTTTATTGCATTCGAATGTCATCTGTGGTGGTTGTCTAGGTTGTCATTGAGGTTGTCCATGTGTTAATGATCGAAAGCCAGTATGTGTTAACGATGTAATTGCACATATTTGCACCCCTAGTTCTTATCCGTTTGAGGGGCATAGTCGTGTATTTTTGGCCTATTTTACGCCGGGTTGTGCTACTTTGTCATATTTCAGGTCCCAGACGTCGAAGGAAAGACTAAGCACGAGTTTCGGGGCATTCGGAAGTCATTCGGTCGAGCTGGAGCCAAAACACGGGCACGCCTAAATCAGAACACGGCCGTGTTCCTAGACCGTGCTTTTACTGCCGAGGCTTGATCTGAGTTTGGCAAACACTAGCTCAAAACACGGGCAGGACTGAGACAGAACACGACCGTGTCCACCAAAAGCACGCCCGTGTTTTCCCCAAAAATCTGGCCGTGTATTTAACACTTGGCAAGGGCACGGGTGGGCTGGAGCAGAACACGGCCGTGCCCTCGACCGTGTTTTGCCCAGTGATGCCCTCTTAGGCAGATTTCAGCCAAAACAGAAGGGGATTCGAGTTTTAGAGAAACAGAGCGATTCCTAGAGAGAGAAAGCGACGAACAAGAGTTCCCAAGTGCCATAGCTTGATCTTCATCACCATTGGAGCTTGGCTTGAGCTTGGAGGAGTGCCGATCAACGTCCAGGAGCGAAAATCCATCCTTCACAGTATGATTTCCGCGTCTGAATCTGCTTTTGCTTCTTTCTCCATGGAGTAGTTCTCCCATTCATCTGGGTATGGAGAACCCTAGATTTGTATGTTAGGTTTGATTGTATGAACCCAAGTACTGATTCTATGATTTGATTATATTCAATTGAGGTTTGAATGATTGAATGGCATGAATCCTGATCAAATTCCTGTTGTTTCTGCTTTAACCTAGAATGAGAATATCTGCCTAGGTTGATAGAGCATCCTTGATTGAAGATAGGGAGTTGGTGACTTTAGTCGAGGAGCCAACTCACTATTCTCTACCGAATTCACTTCGGTAGTGGAGGTTTTGTTCGTTAGGGCCTCAATCTGTTACTCCGGTGGAGGTTAGTCGCCCGCTAGAGACTCAGATTGAGAGGGTCTGGAGACCTTTAGTCGAGACTTCAGACTGCTTAAGAACCTTCCGCAGTATAACTATCATAGAAATTGAACTTGGTAATTGCAATCCGACTTAACTGCAGTCTAGGGGGAACCATATCCGGGTGACCTCTCTTAACCTGAAAACAACCGTTTACTTGCTTTGCTTGTTTGTTAGTTTAGACTTGCACTAAAGTTTCATTGCTAGATAACAAGAATTCACCGAGTAGTCATCAAATCTAGGACCCGGGTTGACATTTAAACCCAAACCCGCTATACTATGCTTTAGGAAGTGGTTACACTTGGCCAGTTTCTAGAGTGACAGTAGGAGTGAGTCAAGTTTTTGGCGCCGTTCCCGGGGATGGCTAGGTTGTTGAAGAAAAGTGATTTCTGTTAATTTAGCTTTTCTTTTCGCATTGTTTGCTTTGTCCCACCTGTACCTTCACGGGTTTGCTTGCTTGAGTGTGTGCAGGTAGTGCATGACCCGTAGCCAGTCGGGAGGTTTACTGCCGTTGAATCCAGAGATTGACCGCACCTGTCGCCAACTCAGGAGACAACAGCGAGCTAGACACGAATCTCTACCAAATATCTGTCCAACTCGGAGGATTGAGCAAACACGCTTCAGAATCATCATCACAAACACGCCTCCCCACATTGGGCACAAGGCTGCCCACCTCACCAGGAGTAGTCGTTTCTGCACTCCCAATCCCAGATTGTGACCCTTGGCCTTGACTTTGAGTAGCAGGTTTGCATTTGATTTGGTAATGCTTAAACAAGGAAGTAAGCTCACTCTGAAGATCTTCAGCCAACTCATCCCCTCTAGCTTGTCCATATAACTTCCTCAAAACATAAATGGGATACTTCATTTTGTGCCTAGGATCAAACACCACTGCCATGTAGAAAAGCTTGTTCATTCTTGAATTAGCATTCTCCGCCTCATACCAATACTTCCCAACCTTTGCATGCATCCTAAATGCCATATTTCTTACCTCCTCTTCCTCACTAGCCTCCGTTTCTTTGAGCTGGTGGAATATATGAAGAAGCTCTCTCAAGAATAGATGAGAAGTCACATACTTCGTACCTGAAACAAGTAAGGTAAGCTCATGAAAGTAACTCAAGTGCTTGCACAAGTTTCTTGCACTCTCCCAATCTGCTGCAGTTGGAGGACCAATTTCCTCACCCTTGTACTTATTTAACTTCAAGAGATCAACCAGAAACTCCCCATCCTCAGTCTCAAGAAGTTTAAACTCCCCATCCTCAGCTGACTCCAACATTAAATATGTGGAATTCCACCTAGTGGGAACATCCAAACACAACATCTTCTTGCAGTCAATGTGATGAAATCTAACACATTTCTTAAATTTTTCCAACCTTGCAGGTGAAGCACGAACCCATGTCACAGCCTCCCTAATTCGAATTACAACCACCCCAATTTCCTCCAATCCGTCACTGACAATGAGATTAACTATATGAGCCACACAACGGATATGCAAATATGCACCATCTTTAACACTGCTACCCCAAGTCATCAATTTATCCTTCAAACAACCAATTGCTGTATCATTTGCATATGCATTGTCAACTATGATGGTAAACACATCCTTCAAGCCCCATTCTTCCAAAATGCTCCCAATAGAGTCAGCAATATCAACACCCTTGTGACTAGTAATGCTGACGAAACCCAATGATCTTCTTATGTAACTTCCAATCATTACCAACAAAGTGAGCAGTCAAACTCAAATAATTAAAGTTTTGAACAGAAGTCCAACAATCTGTTGTACGAGACACCCTGCCAGCACACTTGTCATGGAAATAATTCTTCAATTGCTTCCTCCCATCAACAAACAATCTGAAGCAATCTTCTCTAATGGTCTTTCTACATGGGATCTTAAACATAGGACATGCAACAAGACAAAATTGTTTAAACCTTGCCCTCTCAACAAATCTAAAGGGCAACTCATCCATGATTATCATTTGAGCTAATGCATACCTCACTTTTCCCTGCTCAAATTTCCAATTGGCTAAAGTTTTCATCCTTTCATCAATTGGTTGTAGGCTTAATTGCATTTGACCACCTTGCTCTGCCCTTTTTCTTCTACAAGATTTAGTATGAGTACGGAGAGTAGAAGTACCATTATCGCGTGGATCGGCAGCTAGCTCTGTTTTGCAAAACAAGCATCTTGCCTTCCTCAACTCCTTCTTTACAACCTTCCCCTCCGCCGCTTGTTTCTTGGCATTGGGATTTGGTACATAATACAGTTCGTACTCTTCATATGTTGTTGACTTTATCTTGGACACTTTCCTCTTACTCTTTTTTGCAGGTCGTTTTGTTTTTTGCAGGTTGTTTTGTTGCTGGAGCTGCTGCAACAGCTTCACCAGTAGCGGCAACAGGCTGCTCAGGAGCCACAACCTCGGGAGTAGGTGCTGCCACAGAACTGGCAACATCTGCAAGTCCTCCACTTCCACTTGATTCATCAATCCTGCGTCTCTTCTTACTCTTGGTCTTGGCGGCAGGGGCAGGAGTTGAAATTGCCTTTCCTTTGTTTTTCATTGTTTTTGCTCCTTCTCCTTGCTTCTCCCTATCAAAATTTCAGAAAATGCCAACTACAATTAGGAGGTTGTTCGAGCATATGTATATATGTACATAACAGAGGAAAAGGAAATGTGAATGGATTGTATTCCATTGAATTCGAGCATATGTACATAACAAAGGAAAAGGAAATGTGAATGAAACATACATTGACGGGCGGCAGCGAGGCAGGGCAGCACTCGAACTCTGGAAGTCGATAGGAAGAGGACCTCGACCTCGACGACGAGAGTAGGTCGAGCGAACAGACTTTGACTGGAGCAGACCTCGACCTGGAAGAAGGCCACGAGGCGTCGACGTCGAGCACTCGAGCGATTGGAGCGAACAGAGGAGAAGTCGAACGCCTGAACAGAGGAATACCGTTGCAGCCTTGAGGAAGACGGGGACGGGTGATGTCGGACGGCCAGGGACGGCGGCGGTCGGATTGCAGTGGCGCGGCGGGAAGATGGGAAGCAGGGAAGGGTCGAAGGCTCGAAGCTCGGTCGAAGGTGGGAAGGAACGAAACGAAACGAAGGGTCGAAGGGGTCAAGGGGATTAGGGTTTTCGATTTTTGTTTCTCCAAACGACAGCAGGGAGAAGTGGGGGAGGGGCCGGGTCGGGTTTGCCAATTATGGGCTGGGCTGGGGTCAACTATGAGCTGGGTCGGGGTCAACTATGGGCTGGGTCTGGGGTCGCAGTCAGCCTTGCGGTTATATGTATTTTCGGTTTCGGTTGCGGTTAAACCGCAAACCGCAAAACAATCCATATCTGAAATCGCGACCGCAAAATAGGCAAAATATGCGGTTTGCGGTTAACCAATAACCGCGCGGTTTCGGTGCGGTTATCGGTTTAACCGCGAAACCGAAGCCGTTTTCCCAGCCCTAGTTTACAACATCCGTGTCATGTCTAAAGCGCCCAAAGTAGTAGTGTCGTATTGTGTTCAAAGCGCCCAAAATTGTAAGCGCCCCAATTGTGTTGAAATATTATGTTTACGTTAATGGCCAGTTAAAGCGCCCTATGCCTTGAGCAAAAATGCGAGATTGTGTTAACTTATTTAAAGCGCCCAACTTTTGCGCCCTATGCCTCGTTAAAGCGCCCAACCTTGCGCCCTTTGAACGATGCAATCAGATATCCAACAACGCCCGTGCTTAGCGCTCTCCAACGAAAGGAAAATCAAGCAACACATCAATTCGGAATACCAAGGATAGACCAACCACTAAAATATCATTATAAAAATGCAACAAGTGCACGAAGTACATGGTTTTTCAAAAAACCCAAATTACAAAGGAGGCGCCCAAGCTTAGTCCGCCTCGGAGGTGGCGTCCTCAGTGATGGGCGCCTGCTCCCCTGGAGTTGGAGACGCATCAGTTGTCAGAGGCGCATCTGCCACTTGAGGAGTAGGCTTCCTCCCTCCTCACTTGAGCCAAGCATCTCACCGATCACGAAATCAGCCATATCTGACAAATCCCAGACCTGGTTGGAAAATCCTTCTCGAGCTTATTCTTAAAAATGCCCAAGCTTGTCAGACAGGCATTCGCAAACAAATTTTTGCCAGCCTCAGAATCCTCGAACGTGTCCAAGGAGGTCCGCAAAGCGGTAATCTCTTTTCGAGCCGCCTTCAAAGACTTCTTGTAATCTTTTTGGTCGTCGTGCAACCTCCACTTTTCCTCCTTGAGGAGGTCGATCTCGCTAGTCTGGGAGCCCACCTCTTTCTCTAGTGCCTCCTTCTCCGTTTCCAGAACCGCAACCCTCTCCACGAGGCCCATTCACTCCTCCTCGAACTCTGCCTCACACTTGCGGCGCTCTTCCTCCAAGGTGCCCTGAAGCCGCGACACTTCCATGGCCGCTTTCAGCTGGGCGTCCTTGCATTCTTTTACCAGCTGCTTGCGGCGCATGGTTGTTGTGTCCATATCATCCTTGAGAGTGGACGCGGAGGTCGATGCGGCCAACGCCTCCATTTTGGACTCAAACAAGCGCTGGGCGCCTCTTTCGGCGAAAAGGAGTATCTGCGGACATAAAATCGAACAGTCAAGCCTATGAAAACCAAAATTGGTAAACTATGCTAATAATCAAATAACTAACTTTGGCGCCCACTTGGGCTAACTCCGCGAAAAGGTGGTCTCCGTTCATCTCCGAAGGCACCTACCACATTTTGGCGGCTGGCATTGCTAACCCATGGCACACCCTCTAATAACGGCGGACAAAGGAGAGCATGGAAGGGAAATGAGCCGGAGCTTGGTGCGGAGCGGCTGCAGGATCGGTGGGCGCCCATCAGGACCCACAAAACACCCTTCCTCGTCCAAGTGAACCTGGGCGCCTTGTTGTTCACCTGGGCCTTTTTGCAGTGGCCTTCCCCTTTCCCCTATCGCTCTCTCGAGCTTTCTTGCTGACATGGGGCAAGGGGGAGCCTGCCCTCTTCTCGTGTCGGACCAAAGGAGGATCCTCTTCATCCGATTCCTCTTCGCGAACCATATGGTCAAAGGCTGGCTCCCCCGCATATGTTTCGGGAGCGGAAGACGCAACGCTGGCGGTCTTGGTATGGGTGGGCGCCTTCGACGGGGCCGCTTTGGTTTGGGCTTTCTTCACCCCCTTTTTCTTTTTTGGAGCTGGAGGTGGAGGGGCCTGGGGGCGAGCGGCAACAAGAGGAGACCCCAGCCGCCATCATAGCAAGCCGACTCTTCATCAGCTTCGCGATGGTGGAGAAATCCGATCCTACACACATACATAATGATTAGTATAAGTAATTAAAGACAAGGTCGGACAATCGTTATCAGGCGCCCACACACACCATCGTTATAATACTCCTCCAAAACGGGAGCACGGTTAGCAGTGATGCGTAGGTTTATGGGATTTGTGCTAATGAGCTGGGCCCCTCTGGTTTCATCCGACGATAGATAAACCTTCGTGTTAAAGGCATCGACGCTGCCCCATCTCCCACTCCCTCAGAAAGGCGCCCCCACTTTCAAAAAATGAGTCTTGATAGGCTTTTATAAAAAAGAACCCAATGAACCAACTTCGCCCCAGCTTTGGACACCTGACCATGAAGTGGTAGGGGATCTTCGAACGATTCTGTAGGGAAAGGCAGTTGTCAAGCGCCGCCACGTTGAAGAAGTATCTGAACAGGTTGAAGGTGGGCCTCACGTTGTGCACGCTGCACTTCAGTTTAACAATACCACCACCACCATAACCGACGGAGACAGGCGCCCCAACGAGCACTCGCAGGTCACCAAGATCCCCTCCAAAATGGGGTCTATAGGGAATCGCAACCCAAAGCGGAAATACTCTTGGTAGATTCCGAGCCACTTGGGGCCGCATACACCAACTCTGGAAATGGGCGAGAGGGGCGTATACCACCAATCGCGTGGTAGTTGGAGGCTGGTTACCAATTCATGCACGCATGCCAGGGTCACTGTTGATTGGTGGTTTGGCTCGACCACGTCGAACGACAGCGCAGAGGTCTCAATGGGCACGTAGTCAAGAGGAAACGTCTTCTCCCATGTCGTGATCTTATACGAACCGTCCGCGGGCATGAAGCCTGGAGTGGAGACGCTTGACGGTCCAGCAGGTGTCGGCGCCCTCTCTAAAGCATCAACCGAGAGGCGGGGTAAGTGACTCCCACGCCTAAGTGTTGAAAGTCAAAAAGAATACCAGAAAGAAGGGATAAGTCAAAGCGATCGCATACCAGAGTTGGAAGGGTGATTAGGAGCTACGCCTGCATTAGAGGCGCCTGCACCGGTAGCCTTGTCTTGCGAGAAAGTCATGTGCCAGTAAGAAGAAGAGAGGAAGTCGGCATTGAGAGAGCTCGAGAGAAGTTAGAGAGAGGGGATTGTTAAGAATGGCGAGGCTGAGGAGGCTGGGGGGATTTAAATGGAGGAAGGGCGCACATCGATGTCCACGCCACCTGCCACGTGTCAGCATCAAGGGTGGACGTTTGAGTTTCCCCCATTTTGAATTTCAAAAAACGGAATTTTGAATTTCAAAAAACGGAATTTTGAATTTAAAAAATTCTTAGGTTCAGTCTCTAACCCCCGCCCGTGTGGGGGCGTGAGGGGAGCACACAGGCGCCCGAACACGACATGATATTAGATGAATCAGTAAAGGGTTGGGGCGCCTCCCGTAGCATATTCAAAAAACATTTGATCGCGCAAAAAGGTGCATGGTCATAATGTGAGCGGCGAGGATCAGCTAAAGCCAAGGCGCCTTTTGAGAGGGAGGCATGTACTCAAGAAGATTTGATCGCACAAATGGGCGCATGGGCACGAGATGAGAAAATTCAGACAACACGTGGCCTTAACAACGAGGAGAAAGGAGTCACGACAAGAGTGAGGCGTCGGGCCAAGAGGATTAGTTAGGCACTCAAGTAAGGGGCCATGAGTGTCTAACCGGGGGGCAATTGTTGGGGGTATTACAAATAGGTCCCAAAGAAGAGCCCAACAAAGCCCATTGAGGCGAGGATGGGCTACCCAGTAGGAGAAGCCCATAAATAGGCCAACGAAACCTGTTCCATGTAGGATGGAAGGCGCATGAAGACAAAACACTAAAGGCTCCAAATAAGTCCAGGCTATTAAACGGTCCCCCACCTGCAGGCGTCTGCCAGTCGTCATAAGTCTGACAAGGTGGTTGAGGCATCTGACAAGAATGAAGGTACAAGGCATTAAATGCAACGATGACGTGGAGGAGATCAACCTCGAGTTGGGTGAGTATAAATAGGGGCAGTTGGTAGCATTTACACAGGTTGGACTCTCTCACTAAACTCACTTACTACGCACTTCTCTCTCTAGAAAGGAAACAGACTTGATCGTCAGAGGGCTAACGAGCCCAGGCGCCCCATCTGTGTTCTTGGGTGTAGGTCAGGTACCTGTCATTGAAGGAGTGGATTCAGTGATGAGGTATCAAGACTCAAACAGATTACTCATGTTAAGCACAGTAGAGAATCTCTTTGTCTTATATTCTAGGCAAAATTCATCTGTGTAGCCAAAACTTTGACGTTTGTGACAATAATAGCCACTTTTGAGTAAATACCAATAATAGCCAGAATTTTGAAAGTTTGATTACATATATAGCCATTTTCGTTACATAATTTGACGGCGTCAATGACACCGTTAGTCAAATTAACTGAACGCTTATGTGGTTGCCAACTCACCGGACACATCATCGACAACTCAACAACACTTGTCACATAGTGTCATGTCATATTTTAATTTAAAAATAAATAAAAAAATCAACTCAACAAAAAAATAAAGTAAATAGTAAATAATAAATAAATAAAATAAAAACTCAATAACACTGTCGCCCTTCTCTCCAACTCTTCCTCTCTCACCGATCCAATTGCCTCCTCCGCCCCCTCAGTGCTGTCGCCTCCTCCCTCCGTCGCACAATCTCCACCTCCACCGAGCCCCTCGTAATTGAGACATCCATTAGAAATAAAGAGGAGAAGATTGGGTTGTTGACGTAATCCATCAGAAACTCCACCACTAGTAGCAGAAGTCAGCCAATGCGCGAAGGTTACGGATTGAATTAGGAATGAAGGAGATTACCGATGGAATTTGGGAATATGGGGAGATGAACTCCATGGCTTGGATGTATGATTCGGGGTTGGAGGCTTTGGGGAACTCGATTTGCCTCCTCAAGACAGATGCTTCGACGACGATGATAGCGGCGGTCGCGCCTCTACATCAACTCCCGCCGACGATCTCATGCTAGCTGTTTCCAGTGCTCGCAGTCGGGTACCACCGCTACCAACTCCCTCCTATTGTCGTCAACGATCAGCATCACTATCCCCCAGGCCTGCATTCAAGAATCTAGCGAATTTGGGAGGAAGAACTAGGGTTCTTGAATTTGAGGGATTTCCAAACCCGAATCTGGGGTACAGTTTCTTATGGACCAGGAGCGGTGACCATCATATTCAAAGCTTCTCCTCTATTTTGTGTGGTAAGAAAAGCAAAGTGGTTTTAGGATAAGTGGTGGAGACACGGAGGTAGAGTGGGGAGGAGAAGATGAACGAGAAGTAGAGGTAGGGTAAGGGACGAAGGGTGAGAAATTATTTTTTTTAACTGTGGAGAGATTATTTTTTTATGTATTTCTTTTGGTAATTTTGTTTTATTTAAGTTCATTAAAATAAAAAGGTAAAATTATGATGGTTTTCCACCTGGCATTGTTACGTACGAAATTTTTTCCATATCAGCCTACTGTTAGCCTAGTCAGCACATTCACTAACACCGTCAAACAATTGGACGAAAGTGGCTATTTTTAATATTTCACCAAACATGGCTATATTTGGCCAAACCATCAAAGTTTTGGCTATACAAGTGTATTTTGCCTATATTCTACTAAACATGTTTTAAATAGTCTACGCAGCTAATTTTGTGAAAGTTGATAAATGGAGGACTCCTTGGTGATTGTCCATATGACGACTAATATCTTGCTGAACTCACGCGACGGTTAACAGAAACAATAGCATCATAACTTTTCTCCCCTAATTTTCGCTTCCCCCTCTCTCTGTGCGGGTGGCAACACACCAGATCTAGGGTTTTCAGCTTAGCTTGAACCCAGAAACATGCACATCACACTGGAATTTGGGTAAGTTTTTTCTAACTTGCTCCCTCTCAGCTGACTGGTTCATTTTACACTTGGGTAATTATTCGGAGTGAACCACTTTGGCTTAGTTATTTCCAGAACAGAGAAGAATGCCTGAGAAGAGTTCCATTGATTGTTCAGATTGATTATGGGGTGGAATTTAAACTTTCTTACGCGTTGCTCGGGAATTTTTCTCTAGCTGTTTTTATCAGCCTGATGATCTCCCTCTGCAAAGCATAGGCTGGACGCGTACTGTCTTTTCTAATACATAGGAATCTATATTTGATTGGGAATGTGACAATGATATGAGTCTTGGGCTTATGAATTTTTTCTTGGCTCTGCATACTTGCTTAATCTGTACGAAGCATATTGTGTAGATTCCGGTTGCCCCCTTTTTAACCTTCCTTGTTAGTTGTCCATCAACCGTCATAAGCTGCTTTGAGATTGATCTGCGGGCTTCAGCCCTGAATTTATATGCTTGTATGCATCATCTCGTATTCAAGCTCATTGTTTCTTTGTTATGCCCTCCTTTTCTATCTCTGGTCTACCGGTAGTGATGTAGCTTGCTGCTAATGGATATTGCAGTGGGGGGCTGGAGCTTCTTTGTGATTCAGTGAAGATACATAATGTGGATGTGGAACTTAAAAAAGGATTGGAGAAGGTAAGCCTTTTTCTTGGAAAAGCAATAAGAGTTAATTTTAATCCTTCTTCTGTCACTCTGAGCGCTTAACATATACAGACTATGTTTCCTGGTCAATTTGCAGTTAACAATGAAAGATTTGCTTGCTTGGGTTCGTACCAATTTGATCAAGGAGAGGCCTGAAATGTTCATGAAAGGTGATACCGTGTAAGTTTATAACTCGATCAACCAAGTCAAAAGGGTTCAGGGCTTGGAAGTTCCATTGGTAGTTCTGGAGTATTGATGTTCTTCTTTGAGTTCAATTTGGATGGTCTAGAAAGCATATCCCGAATGGATGCTTTTATTCTGAAACTTGCATATACCTTATGATCAACCTGGTGTTTGCCAAACAGGAGACCTGGCGTTCTTGTTCTGGTGAACGACTGTGATTGGGAGCTCAGTGGGCAGCTTGAAACAACCCTGCAAGAGAAGGATGTGGTGGTTTTCATTTCAACCTTGCATGGTGGCTAAAAGCCTAAGTGCAGCAGCGAGCTTCTTTCAGTCATTCGTGGTACTCTTTAAACATACATAAAATCTCAACCTGCGTTTCCCTGAAACTTAATTGCCAGGGTATCCCTGCAAAAGTTTGAAGCTCTACCTGTTGTCTGTTTGTACTCCCTTCATAACCTAGTTCTCCAGCAACTTGTTTTAACTTTTCACTGTACCTGTTGTCGCAATTTACTAATAGTATAAGATAGCAAAAGATGAGGTTCTGGGTTGACTTCTGGGTTTTTGGTCGTCGGTTTCAGATGAAACCCATTGAAACCCCTGACCACCGTCGCTCAACCTTCCCTTGCATCTGGTTCTGCCATCGGGAAAACAAAACTGATTCTAATCCAATTCGTTATTTAGCAGTGAAGAACACATTCAACCAGCATTGTTGATGGATTTGGGCGTTGAACTGGAGATCTGGAAAAGGAATTGGGCGTTGATGGATTTTCGAAGGCGTTGATGGGCAATGGTGGCTATGATGGATTATCGTTTGCGATGATGATTATTGGTCGCATACCCCTCCGTCCCTTCCAATCCCTCCAATCCCAGTGCATTTACAAGTTCAATTATCGGTCAAAAGCTTGTTTATATGGCGTGCGAGGTGATGAGGTGATGGAAAGGGTCGGTCACGGGAAGTGGTGGGTTTTATGATAATCCCAGTGCATTTACATGTTCATTTATCGGTCAAAAAGCTTGCTTGTATGGAGTGCGAGGTGATGTAAAGGGTCGGTCATGGAAAGTGGCGGGTTTTATGATAATCCCAGTGCATTTACAAGTTCAATTATCGGTCAAAAGCTTATTTGTATGGCGTGCGAGGTGATGGAAAGAGTCGGTCACGGGAAGTGGTGGGTTTTATGATAATCCCAGTGCTTTTACAAGTTCAATTATCGGTCAAAAGCTTGTTTGTATGGCGTGCGAGGTGATGAGGTGATGGAAAGGTTCGGTCACGGGAAGTGGCGGGTTTTATGATGTGTTGCGTCGGGTTTTAAATTTTTTTAGTTACGTCAGCAAAAAATCATCTATTTAGACAATTAATAATACATTTTAAAAGGTTTGATTTACTTTATTTCAAATTTCTTGCAACGAGAGTGAAAGTAGGAAGAGTATTTTTTTTTCTTCACAATTATTTATTTATTTATTTTATATATAATGATAGCAACTAGATCTGGCAATCAGGTCGGGTTGGGTAATTTCGGGCTGGGGCCTCTGGTTACGGGTCGGGTTACAGGTGGTTTCGGGTTATGAGTGTTCTCTGAAACAATATCAAACATTGTTCTTATTTTCTTAAAGAACACAAATTTTCACATATACATGACAATAGTTTACCTAATACATGTCAATTAATATATTCTCAAATCCTCCCAATGAAATTAAATTCAAATTGCGAAAATGGTCAAAAAAACAATCACAAGAGTAATACTACTACAAGAAACACATGATATTTGATTATTCTTAAACTCCAAATATGTCATTCAATTCTTGTAAATTTTTTTAAACATCTCACCAATGTATCAGGGATTTTTATCATTTTGGGAGTGATATATAAAATGGAATGAGTCTAACGGGTCAACCCGCTAACCTACCCAACCCGACCCAAAAAATTGCGAGTTATTGGGTTCGGGTCATTCGAGTTTCGCGATATAAAAATTTATACATTTTAGGCGATTTCGAGCCGGGTCAACGGGTCGGGTTGTAATTTGTCAGGTCTAATAGCAACACCAAGATTTGAATCATGGTCTACTTAATCAAAGACAACAATAATAATAATCAATTACACCAAACAAATATAATGTGCATTTTTAATTACAAAACATGCATAGAGTTAAAATCGGAAACATAGCGGACTTTTGCATAACAATTAGCTATCTCATTAAGTCTCCCTTAAGTATTTTATGGTGCTGATACTTCGATTTTGATTTTTGATGATTTTAATTGTATTTTAATAGTAATTAATTCTTATAAGTGAAAGATAATCTTAAAACCGCAACACAAAATCTTCATCACACAATTTGTTGATACTCATACTTGAGTTATGCTGACTTGAAACTAAAAACAAACACTTCTAAAGAATGAATTTATCGATCTATCCAAAATCGTCTGATACGGTGAAAATCAAGTTGTCCCTAATAGTATAGAAATCCCCCAATTTTTTTATATAATATGACAGTGGAATCGAGGTATTGAGGATCTTATTGTCTGCAATTTTAACGTAATTATTTTGGGTTCCAATTTGTAAGATTTATGTTAATCCCAAGATTGAATAGTTTGTTCTTTCAATGACATTGAGATTCGATTGGAAGAAGTGAGAGATCCGCATGCCATTGATGAGTATCAGTATTCTAGTTTTTTTTTTATAGTTTTATTTCTATAAGATTATTCGTTATTGTACGTGGTATTTTGTATTTTTTACTATAGTGAGTGGCGTACTAAGGTTATTTTGAGTTGATTTTAGGATGATGGGACTTAATCATAGTTTAATAAGCAAGGTAAGAGCCACTTTAATGACAATTAACACAAAAAACTAAACACGGTGGGTTGGTTAAAAACATAATTATTACTCCTCTGATCTTGGTAATTAATTTAGTTGCACAAATTCATCTAGAGAAGCTTGAGACCTGCTACTATAATTACATGTACCTAGCCCAATTCCTACTTCCATCCACTACAACTTCACTGAGAAAGCATCCCTCCGATTACTACAATAATTACATGTGGATGTAAAGCATAGGCTATCCTGTTCGAGAAAGCATTGTTCCCCTCTTTGCATGTCTCAACGAGAAATAACTTTATGATGCTTCAGATGAGATGCGATATCATCCGAGAACCTGTTGTCTTCAACTCGACATTTAGGTCATTCGAATTGATCAAATTTTTTATGTATTATAAATTTATGAAATTTACAATATAAATAATTGTTTTATAATAATTTTTTTATAAAAATGATGGTGATGCGCAACTCCTCTTACGAGAGTTAAAGTTCAAATCTGACCACTAATCCCCACTAAAACATTAACAAATTTAAACAAGTTGAAAATAAAGGATGAAAAGGTGGTGAACCCATTTTCAATCTAACCAGTCATTGATATTCAAAATACTTATGCTTTCTCTAATACTTAACGTCAATGGATAGTTCATCCAATGTGGAGTTGCCAAAATAAGAAGTGTGGCTGACATTTCAATTCATAACCTCCTTAAGGCAAGATGTGATAGTATCCAAGAGCTTGCTATCGTCAAATCAAGCTTATCGAGTTTCATGCCATTTGCATTAGTGTATTTTTGTGTATTATAAATTTGGAGTGTCATAAACAAATTATGATCTCATAATAATTTCGGAACAAATGATGAAGCTGCACCATCTTCACTCGCAAGAGTCAAAGATCAAAACCGACCATCAATGTCCACTAAAACTTTGAAAGATAAATAAATTGAAAATAAAGGTTGGAATGGTTGTAAAACTCAATTTCATTAATATTTACTATCTGACTCTATCTCCAATATTTGGGGCAACCTATTTCTATGCAAAATTGTCAAAATAAGGAATGAGGCTGCGGTTTTGGTACATAACCTTCTTTTGTTTGCTTTAGCCACCCTAATTTAAGCACAAATCTCAAGTATTGCAACTAAGGATTTTTTCAATCTCTCACAAATTTTCTACTAACTATATTTCCTTCTTCATATCAGATTAATTGAAAATTATTAATGAAAAAATTAACAAATGCTATGACGTGTATTTTGTGAGAATTTATAACATCAAAGACAACATCCACTATGTAACAGTATCGTTATTTTTCCATTCTTTTTAACTTCAAATTCATCCGAGAAAAGAACTTTGTACCCACTAAAAATATAGTTTTCGACTAAATATTTTACTCATTGCTGCCATTTATAAGTTCAGGTTCCAGTTTCGAGTTATGCAGACAATTATAAATATTTAATTTGTGCTTAAGGTTTAGTGTATTTTGTAATGGAGATAATAACGAAGAAAAAAAGGAAGAGACTGTTGATGTTGGAGATAGAAATTTCAATGATAGAGAAAAAGAGTGAATATATGATAATGCTCATGACTTGGATAAGATAAACTCTACTAACCAAAAATTAACATTTATATGAGTTTTTTTACTTTACAATGGTTAGATAGTTTGGACTTTTTTCCTATATCAAATAAAATGTACATTTATCAAATATTGCTATTGTTGTTTTGTATTAATGAAAATGAAAAGTATACGGCAATATTGTTGTTCTATATTAATGAAACCGGAACAACATCTAGTTCTTTATAAAATATAAAATCGGGGTACACTTTATTGGCCCAACTGCTTTGCTACTGTTTCACTTTCTGTCTTTTAGTGGCATGGGAGTCTCATTTTTCTCACAGCCAGCTCTCCACACAATTGTTACCCTATTCTGAATTGGCGACGCCTTACCTCCGTCGAATCACAATGCCATGCTACCAGTATACCTAACACCAGTCGCCAACTAGCTCTCCCTGACAAATCCTTCTCTCATACTCTATCCTCTCCTGCTACATCACTATTGATTTTCTTTCACAAAATCTTCCCTCCATCCCTCTGTACAATCAGTCTTTTCTCACATCTCTTTGCTTTCCAATTATCTAACCCAGCGTCCTCCAACTCTCATCCACAATCCAATCTTTTCTGTTTTTTCTCTCTCCTTCAACTCCTACGCCCGACAAAATCAAAGGCAGCGTTGGTGAGAATACTCCATTGCCACTAGGGAGAGCGGCTACAAGAACCGTTGATTCTCCCAGCTGTCACAGAAAAGAGTAAGCCAAAATCGTAGATGTTAAGTCCCGTTAGCAGCACCGTACATTGATTCTTTCCACTGTCCCTACTCGGGGTCCAGCAACAGCAGCTCTGACGCGGAGAAGTTTGCCTATGGCATCGAAGGTGTCGGGACTTTAAAATCTCGAGGATGGCCACAAAAATATGGTACGATTTTCACTTTGTAGGATCGCTTTTCGTTTTGCTTGCATGGACTTTTGATTCCTCTCTTTTCTCCGTATCTACGTTGCTCGAGTTTTTAGTGGTTTGGTGGCTATTTGATGTTGTGTTTGGATCTTAGTTGGTTGCCAACCTATAGTGCAGGGCGGATAGAGAGACACAAAAACAGGGACTGTTTCCATTGATAAATTATGTGTGGGTAATTGTTTCACCTTGCTGCATTTTGTAAAATCGTGTCTTAGGTTTGGGTTTCCTGGGTATTGTAATTACTTCAATTTTATTTACTTCCTCGATATTACAGTCGATAAACAGAGTAGGATTGAGGCTTGTGCACTTCTTGAAGTTGTAATTGATGGTTTGTCTTCCGCTTGTGTTAGTGGTTACACCATCAGTTGCGGGATTAATATAACAAGTGAGCTCTTGCTTTTTCTATTCTTTATTTTAAGGTTGCTTTCTATTTTCAAATTAGCTATGTTTTTATTAGAGGAACTTTGCGTGGTGAAAGAGTGACATCCAGAATGTGTTACCCCATTGTTTGTATCATGATCCAAAATACCTACATGAGAGATGTGAGAGTGACCTGCTTAGTTATTTAGCGATAGATAATCATGATTTTTTCATATTACTCCTTGATCTTTCAATACCTTTTAGTCAGAACTCTGAATTTGAACTAGCTAGGTGTAGAGAACTGCAGTTAATTAAACTTTTCTCAATCCCATAGTTGAATAACTATTGTATGTTTTCTTTCATATTGGTTCAAGGTCGTCTTTTAGTCATGGATAGGAGTTGGGTATGTTTTCTTTTTTCGGGTAGATCAGGAATCATACAAAGAGAAAAATGAACAGAGTGCGAATGGGATATCCTGTGTAAAAAACGTGTTGTTATAGTTAGTAGTTAGATGCACAAGTTGTAGGAAGAAGTTCAAAATACGGAATTGTAGGAATGAAGATAAAGATAGGTTTGCTGAGCAGTAGGATATAAATTATGTCAGGGTACTATGTTTCTTAAATCATGGTTGAGCATAAATGCATTCTTATGCATATCTACCTCAGACTGTCTAATACTCCTTTCATATTACTGTAAGAAAGACCAGCAATGTGAGATGGCAATTAATTTCCCGTGCTAATAAACTTATGGTTTGAGGTAATGTCGTTTGAGGTTTTTAAAATGGATACGTGATGGATTGCAGCCATGTTTAATAAAACACAAATTGCAATTAGAAACAAGATAAGAGTGGATAGTGCACTCTATTTATTATAATTAGAAGATATAACTTCTTCATTACACGATTTTTTCATTGGTCATAGCTTCAACTTGATAGACCGAAGGAGAGGAAACAAGTGACTGGTGTGTAGCTGCCTGCTGCACTATGTTTAATGGTTATGTTTTTGTATGAGGGTGCTTGAAGCTTGCTATTCAATTTTTTATGAAGTGTTTCATGTAAGTGTGTCCTCTGCCTCCAACAAGTGCAAAACAAATTCATGGTTTATTTAAAATGGCCTCCTTTTTTGTTGTAAGTTTCTCATTGAAAGTTTTTCGTTTCCCCTGTACTTTGAATCCTTACGTTAGCCATAATGAGATTTCAGTTATATTTACGGTGGAGTGAACAAAGATGCTTATAATGTTGTTTTCGTTGTCTTTTTCTACTTACTGTTAGTTTGTTGGATGATTGTAAGAGAAACATTTAGTCGAATTTTGCATATCACCCAACCATTGCAGTTAAAGAGGATTTCCATTAGTGATTACAAATTAGATGCTACATCAAGGAAGTTTGCGCCACGCTTGAACTTGACAATTATGTTGAAAGGTTTTGAAACTCTGGCGGCCAGCATCCAACCAGAAAGCCACCCAAGGTTGCTTACCATCTCTTTTACTGAGGGTTCTTCCTTTCCCTTTTCTATTTTGGGATGGTTTACTTGCTTTTCATTGTCTCCTTTACCAAGGGTTCTTCCTTTACATTCTTTGATTTTGTCCGTTTGTGCTCTTATGGAATAGATTTCAGTACTACATGATGCTTGCATCAATTTGTTTGCTCAATCTTCTCTTGAAAGGTTTTTCAATACAATCCTCTGCAGCCCTTCTGACTTCTGCTACTCTATCTCTCTGTGGATGGGTTTTGGTTCAGCGGAATTTTTTTTTTAATGGTTAACTTTTGGTTTGTTTTGGTCATTATCTATGAGCTGGTTTGATTTCATAATTAGTTGATGATGTTCCTCTTTTGAGGCGTTGTCAATCTAGCCTCTTCGTTCTTAATTTTTTTTTGTTTGTTTTTAACCCTTATTAATCTTGAAAGGATCAATCGTTCACCTGCAACATACAAATTTTGTATGGTTGCTGGGTCATTATCTTTGTTTTGTTTGTATGAGATTGTGAAAATGGGGTTTCAATGCTAGGTTGAATACTTTCAGTGGTGGTTTCGAGAATGAAAATTTCCTATTTGCAATTAGTATTCTCAAATAAATTGGATTTTTTGGCCGATTAAAGCTTTCATGCTAAAGTTTGAATGTAAGAAATATAGTTTTATTTTTTCTTCGCTTAAAAAGCACGAGTCACTGTTTTTTTATAATGGTGATTAATTGCATAAATAAAAGAAACCAAAGACAGAGCATCCAAACTCAAGTACAAAAGATCACAGACCGGTTTACAAACAGTGAACCTGCCAGAAAAACCAACAAAAGGAAAACCCCAAAGGGAAAGCAAGAAAACTAATTAACCACACCTGCTAGTTGGACCCCACCAACCCTACAACGGAGAAAGAAAGCAAACAGAAAAGGGCAAAGAGAAACCCCAACTCACAACACCCCAGGTTGAAATAAAAACCTGCCAGCCAAACGTAAATCCAAAGAAAAGCGACACCTCCCACCCATCAGAAACAAATCCTCTGTAGGCAAACCCGTAGCCATCGGAGCCCATTGCCCTTTCCCACCACTCCAAATGCCATATCCCAATCAACAACATTCCTGGCACTAATCCACGCTACATCCTTAGCTTGACGACGCTCCTGCCGAAAAACACGCCGGTTCCTTTGCTTCCACACGTTCCAAGCCACAGCATGAAGAAGACAAAAGTGAAACCAACCTGCAACGTTAGAGGGCTGCGAGGTCGGCCACCTTCTGATGGTTTCCACTATATCCCTCGGCTGAACATCGCAGTACTGATGACAGATAAGAGTCTTCCCCAAACCTCCACAGTAAAAGCACACCCAGTAACCATATGATCAACAGTTTCTTCTTCGCACCCACACAACTCACACCTGTTAGCAAGCTGCCAGCCCCGCTTTTTGAGGTTGTCCAACGTAAGGATCCTTCTATAAAAAATAAGCCACAGAAAGCTGCAAACTTTTGGAGGGACCACCCCTTTCCAGATCGCAGCAACCGAGAAATTACTTACGCCCTGCATCCTCCTTTCCACTAAGCACCTATAAAGAGAACTAACAGAAAAGGCAGAGTCTGGGTTTGGACCCCAGACTACTCTGCAAGGTCACTGTTTTCAAATGGAGGTTCATCAAATCCCCTTCATGGTCGTGACTTATCTCAATTGTTTGGTGCTAATCCTAGCAGTCAAAGGTCAGTATACCTGCTTACTAATTGTTCTACTTCTTTGCTTTTGTAGGTAATTCGATTGGCCACTAACCTTATACTCAACTTTTAACATGTTTGGGAGATGAAAGATTGAGAGAAAGTACCTAAGGATTATGTTGCTTTCGGACAGACAGAAATCCCAGCTGCATGATGCAATTTATGACGACAATCAGAAGGTAAAATTCTTGTTCCTTACAATTCCATTTTATTTGAAGAAAGAGCAAAGCTCCAATAAGCTGATTACAAAAGTGATTTTTACATATTTGTTTAATAGAGATGGCAGTATGTATAAGTAACTTTACCATTACCACTCCTAGATCATTCTTAGTATGGACTTGGATTACATACCTCTTATTCGTCAGAGTTATTAGCTCAAGCAACTATTGTCCTTCTATTGCTGAATCAATGGGGTTCTATTTTTCCATAATCGGGTTAAAGCAATTATATGTGAAGCCAAGGAGGTTAGCATGAAAGTGGAGATTGATGAGATTATGCAAGCTAAGGAGGTTAGCGAGAAGGTGGAGATTGCAGATGGAAGGACAAACCAAATAAAGAATAGGTGAAGAAATCCACGGTTGAACTTAGAGATGTAATGTGGGAAGTTTGTGTTGCTGCCAATTGGGGTAAAAATAACGAGGACATGCTGAAATTAGAAGGAAATTCTTAGACACAACCCTGAGTTTGTACGATTTCGGTAGGAGAGTCTACGACATAGCCCTGAGTTTGTATCTCCTGAGTATAACTATGTCAATAAGTTGGATTCAGAAGGAAATTCTTAGACACAACCTTGAGTTTGTATTTCCTAAGTAGAACTATGTCAACAAGTTGGATTCAGTAGAAAACTTTTAGAGTATGCTCTTTATTTGGCTATTCATTGGAACGAGCCGATTAAAATTACGGTAATTACGGTACACAATTTCTGGTGACATTAAATTTCTACAGCTCTAGCCTCTCATGTGGTACTATATTCCTATGTTGATTAACTATGGAGCTCGAAATACATATTCTTTCAAAACTTCCAAATATTGCAACCTTAGTTCCGGATATTGATTCTAGTTTGCAATAAAAAAAAAAAAAAAAAAAAGAAACCAAGGAGTTTAAGTCATCTCAAGTTTTGGTTATTTCATCTGCTGCCTTCACTTAGTTGAGTTTTGTTTTTTTGTTTTCGTACCCTTTCCCTTGTGGCTTTATCACCCAATTTTCACAGGCCAAGCCCACCTCAGTCTGTATATACGATGTACTATTGGTTGTACAAAAGAGACCGACCTCTAACTTGGGTTGGCCTTTCCTTATTCAACTCATACTAGAAACCACATCACCGTTACAGAGGGAGCAAAGCTACAGCCTATAAGGAAGTTAGTAGAGAGAATTGTAAGTGAAGCAGGTGGCAACAATGGCAGAAACACAAATGCACAACGAAGGAACAAGGGTAATGTTGAGTAGCATCTGCTCCCCAAGGTAACCAGACAATGTTATGGTTCCATCTGCAATCACACGGGCAATGGTTCCTGCTTCCGTCGAAAGCAATCCACCGTTGAAGGTCCCTTTTGAAAGCCTCGACGACATTACCCTTGACAAGAGCGACAAGTTAACACCTGCAGCAGGAACAAAAGAGTCATTACTACATATTTACAGTAGAAAGAACATTGTCGTTGGAAAAAACAAAAGGACCAAGCAGGTGGTCACCTTCTAGGACTTCTGCAAATACAAATGTGATGAGTGCTGAACCAACGTACTGAGAAGCGGAGTAAGGGACGAGGATGTTGAAGCTCAAGAGTATGCCTATGCAGACCATGATCTCAGATGCCAGTAGGACTTGCCTGCATGCATGCAGTCCCCAAAATCAAAGGATTACAGCTTGATGGATATGAACTTGGGATGAAGTAATGGAATTTGAAGATGATAAACAGTTTTTCTAGAGTAGACCTCTCTTCAAAGATGTTGTTTATGTACTTCCCAACAACAACATTTACAGGTATGACTGTTAGTCCAAGACAAGCTAGGAATATAGCGACGTTTCGAGTGGACCAAATGAAGTAGTATCCAGTGACCAGGCTTGATTCTGCTAGCAAAATCTCCATTGCATATTTCAGCATGAAGTAAATAAACAGTTGGACCTGGTTGGATGAAGAAGATGGGTATCATGACTGATACGGAGCAAGTAAAGCAACCATTTATCCAAACAAATGAGGGGAAAGATAAGGAGAAAAAAGAACCTTCACAGATGGGGTAAGCAATTGATATGCTGATGCAATTGAGGTGACAGGTTCAACACTCCTACTCCCTTCTGAATCTTCTTCACCATCATCCTCCACCTCTTCATGATCTCCTTCTTCATCCTCGTAATTGGCTTCTGATGCCAACAGTAATGGCTTCGTCGAACCATGCTCTATAGCATCATTCACCAATGGTCCTATCATCGTACTCACTGATACCCTAAACCTTAAAACTCTATACCTTATGGTGCAAAAGAAGAAAACAATGGACTATATCTGTTAGGCAGGTGCTTACCAGCATTTATTTTCGGAACCACAAGCAATTTGGTGTACGGAGGAGGCTCTCTAAATGAAAACCAGAGCCATGACAGGTAGAGAAGCCATAAAAAGGCCATGACCCAGCCAGGCAAAGTTGCTTCGTTGAAAGTTAGAAGATTACAGAATTTGAAATTAGTCTGAAATAAGCAAGCCATAGCTGGGCCACAAGCCATTCCAAGAGCACTGGCACTCACAAAACCTGCTGAAGCTTGCATCCTGAACTTGAGAGGCACACAATCGCTGATGTAGCGCCTGTTAACCGCTCTTGCTGAACCTAACCTGGAAAAATGTCCACCGATAACTAACTGGGTATTATGGATGGAGTACTAGTAGAGCTAGTATACGGATTAATCAAACTCACCCGCAAAACAGTCGACCAAGCAGAAGGACAGATAAGGAATTCAGATCATAAGCCAGTGCATACAAGGTGTTCCCAACAAGAAGCACAATGCTACTGAATAAAAGCGGTCTGAAATATGATCGATTCGACCATGCACTGAAGTAGACTGATGAGAATATCTGTGCGATCGCCATCGAACCAATGATCACACCACAAACAGTTGCTGCAGCTCCCAAGGTGAGGGAGTATCCATCCGCCGTTGGGACAATGATGTATGTGTTGACCATGTACAGAAATGTATTGACCAAGTTGAGTAGAAGCGACATGAAGTGATATCTTTCCTCAACAAATAGGTCTCCATTTACATCACTTGGAGCCGCTCCCAGGTCGTCCTGGTCCTGGACAATGAATGCATGCTTCCCTAAGAACTCCAGAAAGCTTGTGGAGTTTGATAACCTGCTCACAGCTGCTTTGATGGAATCAATAACTGGGTCCTAGCCAAAAACAAACAGTAGACCCCGAAACCGGTAAGTTGTTAGGAAACAAACTATATGACTGGTAAATCGAACAACAAGACTCAAAGAATAGATGGGCGAAACTAAGAGAGAAAAACCGGATGTGACAGCGCTGGCTGATCGTATATCGATGTGTAGCTCTCTTCGTGGTCTTGAAGATCTGTTAGATTACGAGATATGGTTCCAACAACGGCCCCAATTCCCTGCAATGTTGAGTTCTTTTTATTTTAAATCACCAGAAAAATATAATCGAACATACCAGAAGAGCTGCGACTAAAATGGGCTCTCATACATACATACATACATACATACACATACATACCACTTGTTTGAAAACTGATTGAAGCTGGGAATAAGGATGGTTGGAGCGAGTCTTGACGTAGTAATCAGTGAAGCTGGACCCGAATCGTTTGTCGAATTTCTTGAGGATCTTGCGCAAACCAATAGCGTTCATCTCAACGAAACAGAGGAGCCTCAAGAGCTCCTCTCCGACTGCTCTGTATGATTCCTTGAGCTCAGAGACGTCTAGCCAATTTGATGATGAAGAGAGTTGCTGCTGCTGTTGTTGTGTGAGGCAGTGGTGTTGATGGTCTCCAAGACTGGCTAGCTTGGCTGCCAATTCACCTTGTTGTTCGAGAATGAAGAGTACAATTTTCTCAATCTGACCCAAAACAACCCATTTGTCAGGAAAAGAAAAAAGGATTGGCAAATCGCGGAATGAAAAAGTGAGTTGGATGTGGAAGAAAACCCACCTGGGAGTCGAGCAATCTGGAGAAGTCCTTGAGAACAACGGATTGAGGTTGAGGGTCCTGGGTTCCAGATTGTTGGGCTTGACTGTATCTCTTCACTCGCTTCTTCAGCAGCTTGTAGTTTATGTAATACCTGAGAATTTGAAAAAGAAAGAAACAAGTTTGTGTTTTTTTATTTCCTTTCGATTTTTGGGAAACAAACGGAGACGACTAGAGAGCTAGCCGTGCATGCAGCTGAATTTGTTGGGAAAATAAGAATTGAGAAAGCCAACAAGCAATACCCCTGCCATTCCTGAACTTGAGCTTGTTTCAGCTTCTTCCCAAATGCCACCATACTCGCTTCAAGGTAAACAGAGAAGCTAAGTAAGTACCATCAATAGAATCAATCACCCAAAACCCACAAAGAAAGAAACAAGTCTTTTTCTCTCCAAACTGATGGGCAAGTCGTGAACCAGAGATGATTCATGGAATTGTAGTGACAGAAAAGGAAATGGGTATATTTTCCTTTCCTCTTTTCTTGACTCTGATTCAGTTGGGATTGAGGGAGCGAAAGGCGAACTCGACGGAGAGGAGAGACTAGAGGTTGGGAATTATTATGGAAAAAATAAAAGGAGCTCGGGAAAGGTAGTGAACCATGAACTCTGTTTTTGTCTTTGATTGCCTATTCTCTTTTTCTTTTTCTTTTACTTTTTTTTTTTCTCCGGTCAGGAAGCGGAACGAGAGGAGGGTCAGTAGACAGAGTGACAAAAGCCGGGAGGTGAGAGATTTTGGGGGAAGGAAAACCGCGCCAAATTTGCGATTCTGTTGAGAAATGGGGAAATAAATAAATAATAGATAATTTCCCCTATTTTACGAGGAGTAGACCTTGCAACGGATCCGTGGGATCCTCACTTCTAGGGGTGTTCAAAAGACGTGGTTACCATGGTAATCGTTTTAACTAGTACTATTTGGATAATTTGGTTTGATTAATTTGGATAATTGGTTTGGTTTGATTTGGTTAAAGTTTTTAGCTTGTTTGGTTTAGGTGGTTTGGTTTGGTTTCAGGCACTCCTAACCAGCCAAACCAAATTAACCAGATAAATAATTAGCAATATATCTAATCTATACACATACTTAATACTTTGAATAACCACTCAATAGTTAAACGTTCATCCTTTTAGACTCAAAATATAAAGCTTGATATTGTTCCTATAATGTATATTTGTATATGTAGAGTGTAGACCACAACATATGAATGCCTAATTTAGATAGATCTCATACATTATGTTGGATGAAAACTTGAAAGCAAGGTCCTTTTCAGCCTATCAAAATTGCTAAAAGACTAAGTCAATTCAAACAAACACAAAAATTCATTAACTGATAGACCGTCATTTACACATGTTTTTACCCCCATTCTTACACCGTTTGAGGTGTTGATTCTCGTGTTTTAGGCCGATTTCACGCTAGGTTGTGCTTGTTTGTGATGTTTCAGGTCCTAGTACGTGAATGAAGGCTTAGGAGCGAGTCTGGGGTCGATTGGACGAAGAACGGACGAATGGCGAGGTTTTTGGGGAGCTGCACGGGCAGACCAGGGAGGCTGCACGGCCGTGCACGTGAGCAATATGGCCGTGCGCCTTATGCCGAGGACACGCACGGGCAACCCCTGAAGCTCGCACGGCCGTGCACCCTGGCCGTGCGAAAGGGCTGAAGTTCGACTAAATGACACGCTGCGTTTTGAGTTGCACGGCCAGACTGGTGATATGCACGGCCGTGCACCCTGGCCGTGCGAGTCGGGATTTCCTGGTTTTAAGCCAAATTCCGAACCAAAGAAGAAGAGAGCTGGGTTTTGGATCCCAAACACCCAAGGGACGAACCAAAAGAGAGAGAGAGCGATTTGAGGGCATTCTTGGAGTGGAGTTGGAGGATTTCTTCGCCTTGGAAGCTCGAGGAACAAGCCCGGACTTGAAGACTGATCATCTGAAGATTCTTACTGCAGTCTCTCTCTTCTCTATGGAGTAACTTCCCTTCACTTAGGTTTTGAGGAACCCTAGCTATGTTTGTTTGATTGGATGATTGTATGAGTACTCTGACTGGATGATCTTGAGTTCATATTCAATCTATGCATGTTTTCATGATTCAATTATGCTTTAGTCGAGATTATTGATTCTGCTTTGATTCTATGAGAGGGAATACCTGATTAGGTCAATAGAGCACCATAGATTGATAGTAGTGGATCGATTGCTTTAGTCGAGGGTTGATTCACTGCTTTGTATCGATTGAGAACCCCTTTCGATAGAGGGAGTCTAGTTCAGAACGCCTTGATCAGTTGTTCTAGAGAAGGATACGTCCCTCTAGGCAATTGACTCAAGAGGGCCTTGTTCCTTTAGTCGAGACTCAAGGTCTAGTCAAGGATTCTCCGCATTGTGAATGAAAGTGAAACGGGTTAGAGATCATCAATCATTAATCTGGCTAGTGGCTAGGGGAATCATACCTAAGTGAGTTCCCAACCTGTAATTAGATTAACTTTAACTGTAGTTTGCTAGAGTAGTTTTAGTTCTTTTATCTTAATCTGGTTTGCTAAATAATAAACTGAAGCTGAGTAATAGTAACTCTAGAGACCCGTGGATTCGATATTTATCACTTGAGCCACTATACTGCAGTCCCTTCCATTGGTTACACTTGGCCATTGTTAGGAGTTGTGTTTTAGAGCATCAAGTTTTTGGCGCCGTTGCCGGGGACTTTCTAGAGTATTAGGAAAGGCAGAAGTTTGTTACTTTAGCGTTTTTCGTTTCTTTTCTTTTCCACCCTTGCTTTTCACTTGGGTGTTTTTGTTTTTGTTGGTGCAGATCTGAATCATGGATCCTAATGGCTTCTCCAATCATTGGGGGTATCCACCACCATCTGGGTGGTATTACCCCGAGACTCCGTGGAGCAATCAAGGCGGAGACGACTATGGATTCGGGTTCCAGTACCAACCCCCTTACTACGGAGAACAACCGGACCCCTGGGCATATCAAGAACAACCTCATTATCAAGAAGAATTTCCCCCACAACCAGAAGGGCCATCGGCACTGGAGTTACTCATGGAGCAGTATGCTCGAGACTGTGAGAGAACATGCTCCAGGATGGATCAGTGTGTCCAGGCCTATCGTGAAACAGATGAGATCCTCCTGAGCCTTAAGAAGAGCGTCGATGATCTTGAGCGATCTTGGGCGCAACCTGCTCCAGATCACCCTTCTGCTACCATACAAGAAGAGGAGGAGGAAGAAGAAGGCTACAAGGGCATTGTGGAACACACTGAAGTTGTCACGGAGAGCTCTCGTGATGATCATAATCAGGCCTGTCATGTCATAGCCGACCACACCTTCCCACACCCCAAACTGAGCTTTGAAGAGGCGGGCATGAGTGAGGAGATGCAAGAAGATCTCATGAAAGAAATTGCTTGGCAACTTGCTCTCCAATCCGTGCTAGAAGAAGAAGAGCAAGAAAGGGTGCAGAAAGAAGTTGTGGAGGATGACGAAAGTGAAGCTGGAGGAGTTCTTGATCATTTCCCAGGGGTGATACCACATGAAGAAGGAAGGGAGGTTGAAGAGGCGATTGGCGTCCAGGCTGAGGACGAAGTTGAGGTGGAAGAGGCTTGCACCGGCCATGAGTTACATGTGATATCCCCACCAAACTTCGAGGAACTGCTTAGCAAGGACCCATTTGCAGTGTCTCTTTGCCAGACCAAGGCCACATCGACATCGGTCCCTCTTGGTGGACGCGATGGTGGCCAATCGATGCTGTCTTATCTGGTTTGGGGCAATGAGACGAGAGAAGAGAAGAAGAGGTCTCGAGGGTGGAGACTTCATCTGCATCAAGTACATGAGCCTTCATCACCTGCCACACCACATGCTCGTGACTTGAGACTCCACCTCATCGACGAGAACCTCAACTTCAAGGAGGTTCTAGCATGGACCGAAACTTAGGAGCCATCGTCCGGCTCACGACGTGAAAGAAGCGCTTGTTGGGAGGCAACCCAACCAGTCGGTTTGCATTTCTGTCTCTATTTCTCCTCGGTTGAGTCAGTTTGCTATTTGATTTTAGAGTCAATAACTCAACCTTTGTGAGATTTTGTGTGGTGTTTGTGTTCTGATTACTCTCTCTTTCTGGATGGCACCGCCTGACCCGTTCATCATCATTCACCCTTGATCTGGTAACTTCGTTCTACCCTCCTTATCTTTCCTCCATTGAGGACAATGTCGTGCTTAAGTGTGGGGGGATGTTCGATTATGTATGCGGGTGAATGTTTGGCTGTTTGTGTGCTTGGAGCCTAGTCCACTGTCCAAATTTTTAAATTTGAGGGCTCCAAGTACGTGTTTCCTTGCAATTGCCTGCTCAGTATGCTTTGAATTGACAATCTTTACAGTAATATGCAACCTAGGGAGGTAGTGTAGCACTATGGAGGATGTTGATGCATTTAAGAAGTCTCACTTCTTCTTCATATTGAGTTGGTTGATTGAGTGAATTAGTGATCTTAGGACCCTTGAATTGTGTGGTGTTGTGGATTCTCTACCTGTCATGGACTCTTGTATCATGTTTTGAAAGTAACAGGTGCTCGAAAATGTGCTTCAAAATAACGTCTCCCGTGCGAATAGGGCGAAAGTGTGTAAGGGGAGACGGGAATTCGTTCCCAATTTCCACCTACTACCTCCAGCCCCCTTACATGTCTTTCCCCCGCACGAGGCTCGAGACATCCGCTCCTGGCATGGCCGGTAAGAGCAGGTTGGGACCCTTGAAAAAAAAAGAAAAGAAAAATAACAGAAAACAAGCAAAATAGAAAGAAAAGGGGTCCCAACCATCTTCAAAGAAAATCGAGCACCTTGAAAAAATGTGAGTCCATGATCCTTTGTTTTTGAGAATCTCTTCATCCACAATTCATTTGTTCTCTGTTCACTTTTTGCCATGATGCCGACTCGATAAGAAGCTTTGAGATGACTTGTGCGTCGGTTGACCTCGTAAGCTGCTAAATGACCTAGGAAGTCCTCTACCTACGATCTGGGTTGTTTGTTGCTATAGAGGTCTGGAGAGTTGCATTGGTTTGAGTTAGGTTTGCTTGAGGACAAGCAAACGGTTAAGTGTGGGGGAGTTTGATAGACCGTCATTTACACATGTTTTTACCCCCATTCTTACACCGTTTGAGGTGTTGATTCTCGTGTTTTAGGCCGATTTCACGCTAGGTTGTGCTTGTTTGTGATGTTTCAGGTCCTAGTACGTGAATGAAGGCTTAGGAGCGAGTCTGGGGGATTGGACGAAGAACGGACGAATGGCGAGGTTTTTGGGGAGCTGCACGGGCAGACCAGGGAGGCTGCACGGCCGTGCACGTGAGCAATATGGCCGTGCACCTTATGCCGAGGACACGCACGGGCAACCCCTGAAGCTCGCACGGCCGTGCACCCTGGCCGTGCGAAAGGGCTGAAGTTCGACTAAATGACACGCTGCGTTTTGAGTTGCACGGCCAGACTGGTGATATGCACGGCCGTGCACCCTGGCCGTGCGAGTCGGGATTTCCTGGTTTTAAGCCAAATTCCGAACCAAAGAAGAAGAGAGCTGGGTTTT